TGCCTGTCTTGGCTAAGGCGGACACATTGACACCTCCTGAAGTGGAGTACAAGAAGCGCAAAATCCGGGAGGAGATCGAGCACTTTGGAATCAAGATCTACCAGTTCCCAGACTGTGACTCTGATGAAGATGAGGACTTCAAATTACAGGACCAAGCCCTAAAGGAAAGCATCCCATTTGCTGTAATCGGCAGCAATACAGTGGTAGAGGCCAGAGGGCAGCGAGTTCGGGGCCGCCTCTACCCCTGGGGCATCGTGGAAGTGGAAAACCCAGGGCACTGCGACTTTGTGAAGCTGAGGACAATGCTGGTGCGTACCCACATGCAGGACCTGAAGGATGTGACGCGAGAGACACACTATGAGAACTACCGGGCACAGTGCATCCAGAGCATGACCCGGATGGTGGTGAAGGAACGCAATCGCAAGTATGGCCAGAAGCCAGGACAGAGCTGGCAGGGGGGGAGGAAATCCCAAGTGCAGTTATTGAGACCAAGCCCTTCCCTTGTTCTTCTACAGGCCCTGAGTTCAATGCAAGCAGGTGCTGTGGTCCCCTAGCCTTACCAACCTGCTTTCCCCTTCCCCTCAGCAAACTGACTCGAGAGAGTGGTACCGACTTCCCCATCCCTGCTGGCCCACTAGGGACAGATCCAGAAACTGAGAAGCTGATACGAGAGAAAGATGAGGAGGTGAGAACAGGCTGAGGTGATAGGACTGACAGTCTAAGAGAGCCTCTGCTTGATCAGAAAACTCAGCATTGCCTGGTTTGGGGACGATCCTCAAGCCTGGTGTCTATTTTGGGCATGGCTGGTGGATGGTTCTGCTCTTAGTCTCTATAACACCTCAGGGTTGCTAAGGCCATGACTCAGAATTAGCACTCAAGGGCATATCACGATATTATGGGGCTCCATGAAAGGCCTCACCTTGATATGTGTGCCTATTCCAGCTACGGCGGATGCAGGAGATGCTACACAAAATCCAAAGGCAGATGAAGGAAACTCATTAGCTGGCTTTCAGCCCTGGATATTTAAATCTCTTCCTCTTCCTCCTGCCTATGCCGGACCTTCCCAGCACCAGCTCTGCTCAGGCCCCTGCAGCTACCGCCACATCGCCTTACATCCCTGTCGCCTCCCCAGAGACTCAGAGGAAATAAAATTTAACAAATCTGAAAAAAAAAATCATTTGCTATGCATCTGAATGCTAGACAATGAACAGGATTAAAGAAGAATTGCTGCCTTTGAGTTGTGGTACTGGAGAAAATTATTCACTATCCCATTGATTGTCAAAAGAGCAAACAGATATATCTTCTAGACAGTGCAACAGGGTGTTTTCTGAAGGCAGGGGCAGTGAAGCTTCATCTCATGTACTCTGGGCATGTTGTTGGGAGGGGCCAGTCTTTGGAAAAAGACATTGAAAGATATTTTTGAAAGTTGTGAAAGATGGAGGGTCAATGTAAGAGAGGAAGACTCTTAAAAAGATGCATTAACAGAGGGAGTGTAACAATGTATTACATGTATATATATATGTATTTGAGAGAAAATGAACATGACAGGTAGGACAGGGTTTGGACCTGTTGTTCAGAGAGTTGCTGTGACTCAAAACCACGTAACAACAACAACAACAACAATAAAATACTGAAGCCCAGATGCCAGCTGCACTGTTTTATAGACGCCTTGATTTACAAGGGTAAAGTCACACTATAAAGAAAAAAAAATTGTCCTGTGGCTCTAGGCAGGATAAAGTGAGTAATTTCTTCCCGTTTAATTTACCTACTTGGGGACCCAAAACTATGCATCAGTTCTGAGTTGACATAATGACTGAACTTCCTCCCTCTACTTCTCATTCCCATTAATCCTTCTATCCTACTCCTTCTTGTCTTCTGAGCTTCACTCTTGGGTAAAGGCTGCTCTTTTTATTTTATGTAGTTGATTACTGTAAGTCATGAACACCTCCTTGGTGACATTATTCCCATTGTAGGCCTATTGTTTGGCTGAAAGTTGAGTCAGGGAAATTTTTTGTTTCTGATTTGAAGGGTGACTAAGGGCCACAATCAGGGATTGCATCGGTTTCTATCAGATCAGCAAGCTTGGCTATTTTTATGTATTAGCTTTTATTCCACAGTTTCCCATACTCTACTCAGGATCGTGTACTATGATTCCTTTTAGAGTGGTTAGTCTTGGCAACTAGGTAACGGGTTTCATTTGTTGTTTGGTTTGTTTCTACACATCATTGTGTGGCTCCTTTTATCTTCATTCTAGGCAGGGAAAGACCAACAGTTGCATCTTAGATGATTTCTTGCCAGCTTTTAAGATCTCAACCACTATTCACCAAAATTGGATGTATAGCACTGTCTTTGTGAACCATGCAATGCCAGTCGACCTTTATGTTCCCTGAGACTGAGTTCCTTGGGCCGGAGGCTCAGCCACTCATTTCCTCAGGGTGTTTGATTTTAATTGAGAAGTTCACTTATTTTTGCTTTCTATTGGTTCTGCCTACTGTGATATTGGTGTGTCAAATGTGAGAATGGTTACCCATGGTGGATGGTGTTTGGTGGAGCTCCCAGATTAAAATAAGCTTGGAAGCAGGAGTGGCATCCACTTCTGAAATAGCTTGCCCCTGGAAACCCTATGAACCTGGAGAAAGGATGAAAATTATACAAGTGTCCAAGTCTTCCATTCATAGGATTGCTATGAGTCACCTACGACTCGACAGCACTTAACAACAAATTGGTTCTGCCAAATAAATTTCTATATTTACTGTATATGCTAATATGAATTTATGTGTATTGTAGGTGTAATCCTTCACATCTGTGAGTTTCTGTTTACATGTCTCTATTTCTGCTTGAAAATTTCTTATTGCTGATATTCAGATGCAATTCCTATTGAAGGCTCCAGTACTTGAACTTCTGCAGCAAGTGCTTCAAGTCCTCACTTTCAGCAAGCAAGGTTCTGTTATCTGCATAACATACGTTGTTGAGGAGTCCTCCTCTGATGCTGATGCCACATTCTTCATAGCATCCAACTTCTCTAGAGTCTTGTTTGTATTTCGAAGAGTTCTGAAGTCCATTATGGATTGCATATCAATGTAAGCTATATTTTTATTACTTTGTAATAATAACTTGTTGGTCATTATTGCCTTTTCTTAAATTACTATTCCTTGGATTCCTTCCCTTTACTGCAGTATTACAGTTTCCTTTTTTGCTTGTTCTTTTCTATACTTGGACTAAGAGGCAGTTGTCAGAAGAGAGCAGGGTAACACTGCATGGTTCAAAATTGGGAAGGGTGTACGCCAGGGATGTGTCCTGTCTCCATACCTTTTCAACCTGTATGCAGAGCAGATTATCCGGGAGGCTGGACTCTATGAGGAGAATTGTGGCATCAGGATTGGTGGAAGATCTATTAACAATCTGCGTTATGCAGATGACACAACCCTGCTTGCTGAAACTGAGGAGGACCTCATGAACTTGCTGCGAAGGGTCAAGGACTGCAGCCTTCAGTATGGACTAAGGTTCAATGTCAAGAAGACAAAGATTCTCACCACTGGATGAATTGGTAGCATCAGGATGGATGGCGAAGAGATTGAGATTGTTCACAGCTTGAGTTTGCTCGGCTCCACAGTCAACACTCTTGGCACCAGCAACCAGGAAATAAAAAAAAAACCTATTGCGATGGGAAAGTGTGCTGTTAAGGACCTCTCTAAAGTACTCAAGAGCAATGGTGTCTCTCTGGAGACTAAGGTGCGCCTGATACAGGCCATGGTCTGTGCAATCACTTGTTATGCATCAGAGAGTTGGACAATGACTAGGGAGGACAGAAGGAGAATTGATGCCTTTGAGCTGTGGTGCTGGAGAAGAGTATTGAATGTACCCTGGACTGCCAAGAAAACAAACTGATTCATCCTGGAGAGGATTAAACCAAGCTACTCCTTGGAGGCAAGAATTCTGGGGCTTCATCTGGCATACTTTGGGCATGTTGCAAGGAGGGACAGGTCCTTGGAGAGGGACATCATGCTTGGGAGGGTGGAGGGACGGCACAAGAGGGGAAGACCCTCTATGAGATGGATTGATTCAGTGACTGGGGTAATCGGGATGGGTGTGTCAGAGGCAGTGCAATTGGCACAGGATAGAGCAGGGTTTAGGGCTGTTGTACATAGGGTTACAACATGAGTCGCAAATGACTAGACGGCACATAACAACAACATGTTAAAATGCACAGACTCAGACAATTGTTATTAAATTAGAACGTTATTTTGTATGTTTCTACGTTATTTTATAATGAAATCAGCAATAATTAAACATTAAGAAGCAATATTGTGCTCAAATAGAACAACTATTGTGAGGATGGTATGGGACCAGACAATGTTTTGGGTTTGTGTTTTTTTTCCTTTCACTTTGATCTCCCCCTCTGTTGTATACAGGGCACTCTGGTGGTATAGTCCATAGGAAGTTGTGCTGAAGGTGGTTGATTCAAATGAACCAGCTCTGTGGGAGAAAGGCACAATCCTGTGTGATTTACATTCTCAGAAAACCTACTAGAGGGCCAGGTATGAGTTAGCTTTGGCTTGATAACACTAACTTTTTCTAATGCATTGGTACTGATTCAGTTGCCCCACAAGACAACTAAGGAATCTTTTTCTGGATTTACTTTTATGTTTACCTTGTTTTGATGTATCCCATGACTTCCTCTGCTTGAGATCTTCCTTGGGATTCCTCTCTTTAACCTTTTCAAGATATGTGCGTAAGTAGTTTATTTTCTGAGCTTTTACAGACCTAAGAATACTTTTTTGTTTTTCCTTCATTCCTGAATGTCACATTATCTGGGAACACAATGTTTGCAACTTTTGCCTCCACGGTTTTTCTCTCAAGAGATCTAGCATTCCTTTCCATAATTTTATTTGTGAAAAGCAAATCATGAATAACACCTTGCTGAATTTTTATTTTTTAAAAAATCACTATTTCTTTTTCCTTCCAGGATTCTTAAAACAATGTTTATTATTCAGTTCAAAGTTGTTTTATTTATTTATTTTTTTTGTCCAGAACACAACTCATTGTGATTCTATTTCATTTGATTCAAGGATTTTTGCTTTAAATATAGTGAATGGGTTGGGATTTTTTTTTAATCTTAATACTCGTGTTTTTTAATGACGCTGTTAATCTAACACTGTTGTTTTCCTTCCAGAATATATTTAATTATTAGATTTCTTGCAATTGTTTACTTTATCCTTTCCTCATGCTTACCCATGGCTCACAGATTAGTCTGGTTCTCTGTCTTCATTACCATCATCTCTTCTGTTGGAATAGTCTTCTTTTTATCATTTAGCTCTGTTTACCTCAAGCTCACTGTCATTCTCCATAGAGTTTCCAAGGCTATACACCTTAATGGGAAGACATTGCCTATCTTTCTTCCTTGTCGCTACTGGTGTATTTGAACCTCAAGCTTGTCAAGTGGTACAGCGTGCTATAGATTACACCAGCAGAGCAACATTGAACTCAGCATTGTGGAGATCCTGTCAGATTCTGGGCAAGGCTGAACTAATAGTTTCCTTTTGTTGTTGTACTTTCATTGTTTTCTTATAAATCTGTATAAATCTGGCTGAGAAGTTGAGAGAGGCTACATTAGAGACTGCTAGACAGAATGATCCCCTTTAAAATAAACAATGATGAGGATGAATGATTAATCATTGCACACTTAGTAGAGGAATTTTGTTGTTGTTGCTGGTTTGTGTTTTGGTGTGTTTTTTTGGTTTTGGGGTTGTTTTTTTTTTTGCATCTTGATGCTTCCTGTTGACTTACTTCCTTGTAAAATTAACAGAACAATTATCTGATAATGTAGATTGTGCTGAAACTAACAAAGAGTGTCATCTGTTGATGCACATGAAATGCTTTCCATGATCAGTCCTTTATTCCACTTTGTGTAACTCCACGCACTTCATGTTTAAAATTGTTTCTAATGTTTTCATACCTCTCAGGATCATTGTAAAGAAGATTCAAATCATTCTCATCTTGCAGGTGACCAACATGAGGCAAAGCAGAAAGTCTCAAACCCCACAGTATAATCCAAATTACATGATCTCTAATTATGCTATTCCCTCTATAATTATATAAGAGAATTTAAAATACATGAGAATATTTTCCTCCATAAAACTCATCTTTGCTTCTTTCTCTTATTG